GAGTGGTCCCAAGCCGAGAGTGGTCGTCCGCCAGGACCTGCATTTGCCCGCTCGTGGTCGGAGTCGGCGTCCGGTGGACAGGCTCTCGCAGGTGGAGTGGTCCACACATGTCTGCACTCCCCGCACTGCAGCAGATCTCGGCCTTCTGGCAGGCCAGTGTCGGATGGCGTCTACTATTGACCTTGCCCACGCGCACCAGGCACCTCCACACCACAGTGCAGTCACCAGCAGTCATCAGACGCCCTCACACCCCAGCAGTCATCAGACGCCCTCACACCCCGGCAGTCATCAGACGCCCTCACACCCCAGCAGTCATCAGACGCCCTCACACCCCAGCAGTCGGCGGCGGTACAGTCAGGCCGGTGATTCAGCGTCCACCGTCCTGGCGGCGGCGCAGCGGTCCGTCTCGGTCCCGTCCTCACACGTCAGCCTCGTCCAGCCGCGTGGTCGGTGTCGCGCCACGGACGCGCGGGCTTATTGGAATGGGATGTGCTGTGACAACGGACAGCTCGCGCACAATCGCCGGTCACCATCATCACCGCGGTGGAATCAGCGGCGGGCTTCCCGTGCTCGCTATCAGTCCGCACTTTATCAGGCGGCGCGGGACCGGCGATTAATAGACACGAACACGGCCCGGCCCTTTCACGTGCCGTACTCTTCTACCGAACACCGGCCTGACGGGAATCGGTATGCACCGTGAACGTTAGCCGACAGACCACTCCATTCATTCTCCTGATTTACGGCCTCGGCGATAGAGATCATCGTACCAAACACTCCATCAATCCTTATAGGCTCCGGCCGGCGCAGCGCCCACGTGCCGGTGTTGTTAGTGTTGACGTTTCCTTCTGCTGCGCTGTCTGCAGCGTGGCGAAGACGTGTCGCTGCTCCGAGTACCCCACTCTTGTGTCCAGGAGCGCGGCGCGGGGCGTGACTGCGCCAGGTGTGCCCCCGTGACGCCGCTGCCGTTGCTGGCAGCGCCGGCCACGCGCGGCCGCCGACACCTCTTACTTTCCACCTCGTCATACCCTTGCTCTCCGCTGTGTGGTGTCGGATCGTGCTCAGCTCCCGTCTGTGTCTTGTCTCCGGTGCTGGACCGCAGCACCTCGGGGTGACCGCGTGGGTCCCGGGAGTCGAGTGCAATATGGCATAAAGAACTCTTATTTGCAAGGCTGGAGCTAGAGTCACGACCCCTTTAAAGCATTATTTAACGACGCAGGTTGGTATCAGCCGTTTTCATCGGCGATATGATCCGTTTGTGCATAATTTACCACCGCTTCCGGATACCGAACGCACGCGCTGGAGCCCGACATTTTACGGTGACACGACAGACCCCGGAATATTCGACTAATACCCCTTTCAATGAGATTGTATATATATATATATATATATATATATATATATATATATATATCCCATCAACATGAATGCAGCATGCAACTTGTTCCGGCCATCGTTCGGGTCATTTCCGACATTCTTTTACGCACTCAATTTACCGCCCGCTGTTTTGCTCCATTTAATATGATATATTTCAACTTGACGCCGCCCAGAAATTCACGCCACGCGCCACAGGCCGTGACAGAGCTCATGGTTTTTGAAGGCCACCCCGCTGTCAAAGCGTCGCCGTCACTGGAAGCCGACTTGGCTGTGGAGTCCGACAGAAGCCCGCGGTGGGAAGTGCCGCCAAGCTGTGCAGCCTGTCACGGCGTGACGCCGCTGGCCGGGTCGGCGGGTGGCCGCGCCCCCGGCAGCCGCGTCCGAATGGCGTCTGCCGCGACGACGGCGGCTCCACGCGGTCCGGGGAGGCTGTACGGGGACGCCGGCGCCCCTACCGCCCGGGGTCCGGCGGACGGACGCAGGGGGGGGGGGGGCTCTGGGCCGGCCGGGCGCCGCGAACGTCCGCCGCTATCAGGGGCCTGGCTGGTCGTGGTTGCCAGTGGCGGCGGCCCGTTGGTGCGGGCGCTGGATGCAACTAGTCTTTCCGCTGAGAGCATCTATCGTCCATGCATATAGCAAGCGAACCTGGGTGATGCAATCTGTGATGGCGAACACGCGCCTGACGGGCCGGGCCGGGGCCGGGACCGGTTCGCGCGTTCACGTGAGGGTCAGCAAATGAGCCGGCCGCCAAGGTTTGGATATCAACATTCCTGATGTAATGAATCCCGTAACATAATTGTTTACGCGGAAATAGGTGTCGGAAGGTGCGGTAATATAGTTGGGTGCAGCACGAACGAATAACACGATTCAACAGGTGATGTGTCAGTAAGTGCATGCGATGGCAAGCCTTTGAGCAGGTTGTGCGGCAGTAGCATTCCCATTTCCACTATCATACGGCTCCTAGCAAGCTTCTGACGTAACCAAAGTAATTGCCAGTACCCTGGACGGTGAGACCCGACAAGGGCCTGGTTATGGCGGAATCCGTGACGTGGGCGCCGGGTCAGGGCGCGAGGGGGCGTTTTGACCTGACATAGGTCAGGAGCATGTCCCCGCTCGCCACGGCCCGTCTCAGTTACAAGCAGGGCGGTGTTGGTACAGTGTGCCCCTACACGGCGCCTCACTGGACTGGCTGGTTTGGCTTGAATTCAGCCAGATGTGTGATTTAAGCCGTAGATAGGTGTCTGGGGCCGGTTACGTTAAAATCATGAAGGCTGAAGTGGGAACTTGGACTTCATGGTAGCCTAAATAACATAGCTCCTAAATCTGGACGCCGGATTTGGATGTCAGCTATGCGTGAGCGGCATACGCTATCAGAATATGATGCAGTCTAAGTTCTGCTTACTTAAAAAAAACTCGTCGATAATTCCATCCAAGGCCCTCCTGCAATGCAAGTCATTGCTCTTCCGTAACCGTGCGCAGCTCCTAAACCCGGCCCACAAGCATCTCACGGAATACATTCCGCGATGACTGAGCGGCAAACTAGGGTATTCTGGGCCGGACTCCCGCCCTGCGCGGAATCAAGCGGCCGTGTGGTGACGAGCGCCGCCAGCCTCGCCTTGCGAGCGAAGGACGGGGTGGAGCGGAGGGGGGGGGGGGGCGTTTGGCGACAGCTCGGGTGGCCCAAGTCACGACCCGGCCTCAGCAGTCCCCGCAGTCGGTGCACACGCCCGCTTTTGTACCGGCGACGACATTTCGCCCTTGGACACCGAACCGCTGGCGACGGGTTTCCCGCAGCTGCACTGCCGTCACGTTTGCGCCGCGTCGCGCCCACGCGTCGGCAACAAGATGAGCGCCGCCGCCCCGAACCCATGCGGACGCCGCACGAGCTTTCCAACGTGGTAATTTGCAGGATGTCATCATCTGGGGTTGCGCGTGCATTGACAGGGCCGGTTGTCGCCCGCCACTGCGGCCGGGGCGCTGCCGCTGATAAATGGCGACCGAGGCCTTGCGTGTATCGGGTTGTCAGTTGTTGTCAGCGCGATCAGCTTGCCAGTACATTCATTCATTTGCATGATGTTCCGGCTGCGGAACAGAACGCCGGAGCTCGCTGGCTTCGGTCCGAGCCTCACTACTGGCGCCGGCACAAACGTGGACAGGTGACCGGTTTTGTTTGCTGTTTGAGCGACCGGCTGGCTTTATGAGTTTGGTAGCTGCCCGCCTAGATCCAGCGCGGTGTGTTTCCGACGATCTCCGCTCAATCAGCGCATCGCCAGTGGGCCCGTCCAGCAACAGCGTGTCGAACAGCCGGGCCTTGGTCGGACACGATCGTGGCCGCCGAGCAGAGCGACAGCAGGGCCCGGGGAGCGCCTCAGCCGACCGGACGGGCGTGGGCAGGCGGCGGGGAGGCAGTCGTGCCGCGCGGCCGGCCCACGCCGCCGGCCCGGCACCGGCGTCAGCTGGCGACAGGCCGGTGACGTCACGCGCCCCGCCGGCCGTCCCAGTTGTGGGTCGGGATTGTGCGGGCCAGATAGGGCGCGGCGCGTCGGGCGCCGCGCGGCGGCGTGCGCCCGACGCGCCGCCAAGCCAAACAGGAGCCGACGCAGCCCCGGAGGCGGCGGCGGGGAGAGGCGCCGCGCGCGCGAGAGAGAGCCGGAGCGGCCCGCCTGTCCGCCGGCACGCCACCGCGTGACGCCAGCTCCGCCGGGCAGTGTTGTTACGCCGATGAATGGCTGGCCGTATGAATGGCCACAAATCACGTCGGTCCGATGCTGACCGCGGGAAAGGAGGCTGGTGTGCACCAAACGCGTGCTGTATCTGAGGGGCTGACCGCGCGATCCCCCGGGAAGGTGTGACCTCACATGTGTGTGGGGACCGGTGTTCGGCGGTGTGTGGTGTGACCATGTGTTTTTGCTGGTGCGGGCGCAGTCTGTACAGGGACAAGTAGGTGTTTAAGTGGACTGATGGCTTGCGGGAAAGTTCATCATTCTTGTTTTTACTACATTGAGCAGTAAATTGCAATTCCGTTGGGCCGTTTTCGAAGCCCACAGACGCTCGAGCCTGTGAAATGCTGTCAGTTTCGCTATTGGTCTTCGCTCGTAACGCCTCGGACTGAATTGCAGCCGCGATGGTAGCAGTAATAGGTAGTATTCGCTTCTCAATCCCCGTCGAGTCCGTGCGTAAGTCCGAGTCCCTCAGAATCTTCACGGCCTAAGACTGCACCTGGCAATAAGCTAGATACTACACAAACCAAGAGCGTGCACTTGCCGCCATGTACACCTTTAAGCCATCCAGTTTGTGATCAATCCACTCCAACCAGGAGGCCCGACGTGCGTAATGTGGTATCGCTTTCAGAATGATTGTGGTTTGCTTCACGTTGTTGGTATCGCCTCGAAGTCGTCTCTCTTGGCTGTCACCGCGAACGCAGCTATGGGTGCGACCGCATCCGGACGCAACCGTTTGACTGCAAGGCTTGTGTGGGGTCGGCCGGGGCAGGCGGTAAAGCGAGCGCTCGCGCGCCCCGCGGCCGTGTGTGTGTATGAGCTGGCGGCCCGAGTGCGGCGCGCGCCTGACGGCCGGCCGCCCGCCTCTCTCCGCAGACGCCGCCTGGATCAACTTCATGCAACCAGATGGCGGCGCAGGACTACCTGAGCCGGCTGCAGTCCGGCGCCGCCGCCGGCATCCACCCGCTGGCCGGGCTCGGCTACGAGGCGCTCGCAGGTGAGAGGCACGGGACGGGGTCGGGTCGGGTCGCTGCGGTCCCGCACCGCGGCCTGAGGGCGAGCGAGGGACCCGGCTCCAGTGCGGCGCCCTGTCGTGCTACGCAGCTCTGCACGGTGCCCGCTCGGAGCGGGCAGCCTGCCGGTGGCGTGTTTGGCCCGTGGCTCGAGCCGGCCGTCCTGGGCGGCCGCGGCCGTGAGAGCGGCCGGGTGCGTCGGACCGGGCCGGGCGCCGGCCCGGCGCCGTCAATACAACCTCGTCGCCCCCGGCCAGATGGCACGGCCGGCGACGTCGGCGCGCCCCGCGCGGCCGGCCACACGTCCGCCGCGCTGGGCCGGCGCCCTCCCCGTCCGCCGCCGGCGCCGCCAACCGGCGGCGACAGCGGATATGCCGTGCGTCTGTCGGACGAGAGCGGACGGCGGCCAAAAAAGATGGCGTGGGTAGCCTGCGAACGCTCGGCGGAGCATGCGAAGCCGAGACTCAGTCAGAGACTGACTGGGACCTGTTGATTCCAGGAATGAAAGCGCACGGTGGTGGAAGCCCCAGCAGCTCTTCGTCCAAAGAGTGAGTCTTCCGTCTATGTCGATTTGAGCCTCGTCTGGGTGTTTAAAATAGACACCAGGCGTTGACCCGGGTTGGAAGGGTGGGCGGCCGCGTAGTGATTTATTCCCCAGCATGGCAGGCGTGTTCGATCTGATGCGAATCGAGGAGTAAGATGGGCAAAAAGTGTGGCTGTTCCCTGTGTTGGAGTTCTTGATTGGCATCCTTTTAATCTTCACGTGTTCCGAGAACTGCTCCGGAATTCTGCCACGTCGGAGTTCAGTGCACGTCTCAACGCCCACCCGCTCCATTCCAGATGCTTTCCTAACATGGGCGGATTTATACAAAGTCGTGTTAGTTCTCTTATCGTCCGTTTTTAAGACCATACAACAGTAAGCATTACGCTTCGTCCCAGTGTTACGAGTGGATGAGCCGAGTAGTATGAAGCCGACCAGCGTTGTGTTGTGAGGAAGAGATCGGCGACAAAAAAGACCAAGGTCGCTTGTTGGCTCTGAGTTTTGTTGGGGACCCTTTTAAGACTTCATTGTGGTCGCAAACAAAAGACTACCCCGTGCGTCATTGCGACTTAACGACACACTCAGCTACTGGGGTGATATGACGTCGCCTGTCTCTCATCCTGATAAGAACGGCGAAAGACTGTCTCATTTTCCATTCCGTTATGCCTTGATTTTCACGGGCACGTCTCGTGTGCGTGTGCGTGTGTGAGCGCGCGCGTGTGTACTTGTGTGCGTGTCTGTGTGTGCGTTACCCCGCTCACGTGCCAGCGTTTGGTGCGCCGCTCATGCCTCCGTCCCGCGCCGCTGGTGTCCCGTCCCACGCAGCTCGTCCTCTCATCGCTCGCCCCGAGTCGGGCCGGCGCGCGGGGCGTGCGGCGCCTCGCGCCCGGCGGCGGCGGTGGCCCGTCGGCGCCGTTCTGTACCGGGCGGGCTTGGCCGGCTGTTTCAGTAGTCCGGGCGGCCTTCAGCTGCCGGACGGTACCGAGATAATCAAGCACACCTCGTCCATCAGCGGCCCCAAGGTGCCCGGCACCACCAACCGTGGCCGCAAGAAGACCATCTCGCTGGACCCGCCGTTCCCCGCCGGCAGCGGCGCCGGCGCGCTCTCGCACGGCGTCTCCTCCATCCTGGGCCGCTCGCCGGCCACCGAGGTACGTTCGGCTGCCCGGCCGGGCGTCCGCCGCGCCGTGCGCATTGTGGCGGACTGGTGCTGGTGCTGGTGCTGGTGCTGAGCTGCCCGCACCGCTAGCGCCCCTCCCTGTTGCCCGACCGTGTGCGGCGAGGGAGCGAGTTGTGCTGTACGGTTCTCGCTTGGAGCTGGTCTCCGCCGTCCTACGCTTGGGTCATCCCAGAGTAGCCTGTGGCCGTTTCCTGAATGCAGCAGTGGTGGATGGGGCGGCAGGTCCGTGTCCCGCCGTTTGCTGGCGGCAGGCGATTGAGCCATGCGAGTCCCTGATGGTATCTTTCGATTGACGATCTTCCCGTGCTCGTTATCCATTATAAGCACTGCCCACTGACACGTAAATCACTTTTGATTGCCCCCGAGGAGCGACCGGCGTGTCTTTCGATTGCAACCGACCCGAAAGTGGGCGCCTTTGGAAGCGGCCGGCGGCGCTGTACGGACCCTGTGACCTGACCTGACCTGACTTGACCTCCCCTCTGCCGGCAGACGCGGCTGACGGGACAGCGTCACCATCACACCGACGTCGTCCAAGTCCACCAGCGATCGGCTGCGAGAGCTCGAGATGCTCGGAACCAAGGTGGAGATAAAGCCAGTTGCTAAGGACTCTGGCGCGGTTAGTGGGAACTGAGTCAGTTCTAACTAACACCCGGCGCGGCCGGCGCGGCCCGCGGCGTTCGGTAGCTCACGCTAAGCCGCCTCGTGTGCTAACCGCCTGACGGGCGCCGCGGGATCGATGCGGCGACGTTGGCTGGCGGCGCGAGCTTCCGTCGGCGGCTCGCTGCGGCCTCAGCGACCTGACCGTGCTTGGCCGTGCCGTGCCTGACACACTGGCCCGGCTGGCAGGCCGTGGTGCATGCGCCGCACGCGTAGCCGCCACTCGGGGGGTCTGCATCGCTCCTGCTCATAACCTAGAGGCTTGGCGCGTCGTTAGTGATCGACAGGATGACAGTTTGCGGTGGGCAAGTGAGGCATTGCGCAGCTTCGGCCGTCACTGACACGTGCTGAGGCCGGCATGTGGCGCAGCGTAGTTGCGTTTTCTCTTCCCCTCGGCAGTGCGCTTCGCAAAAGCGAAATGAAACAGTGCGCTGTTAACAAAAGGTCTGCTGGTTGGAATCCTCGACTCTCACATGGGGGGTCTGCATTCTAAACCCGGTTACGTCATGGTCCCGTGGCGCCAGCACGACCACCGTGGTCACTGACGTTCCATGAAAAGGCCCGCGATGGCGCGCGCAACGTTCCTTTTACAAAGGCGCGCTCCCCCCGCCGCGTGTATGTATCCCCGGAGCTCGGCCGGTGTCGCCGCCGCCGCCGCCGTCGCCGCTGACTCAGGCGGCGTGCCCGGCCACCAGGTGGGCCAGTCGGCGTCGACCTCAGGCGCCCAGGTGACCATCACGCCGGTGGCCTCCAAGGGCACCACCATGCTGACCAGCTCGGTGTCGCTGACGCCCGTGGAGCGGGGCGGCGCCGGCCGCTCGCCGCCCGCCACCGACGGACCGCTCAACCTCTCCAAGAAACAGCCGACCAAAAGTAAGCGACCGTCGCCGAGGCGACTGGGCACGACTGCCAGCTGTGCGATCGGCGGCAGGCTAGTGACGGGGTGGGCCTCTGCGCGACGCTGTGAGTGAGTGGTGGGGCGGTTACTGAACAGATCGGCCGGCGGGCATTGGTGCGAACGCGCGAGGCGGGTCGGCCGCGCCTGTCCGAGGGTGGTACACCTGTCGCCGGTCCCTGCTGTTGTGAGACGGGCCTGCCGCGCCTGTCCGAGGGTGGTATGCCTGTCACCGGTCCCTGCCGCTGTGAGACGGGCCTACCTCGCCTGTCCGAGGGTGGTACGCCAGTCGCCGGTCCCTGCTGCTGTGAAGTGGGCCTGCCGCGCCTGTCGCCTCTGACGGGCTGCCGGCCTCCGCAGAGCGCTCAAGTTTGCCGGACCCCGAGCAGCTACGCGGCGGCGCTCGGCCTGCCCATGACGCCCGAGCAGCAGCTGAGCAGTTCCGCAGCGTCATGGCCTCGGCGCAGAAGGTTGGTGACGGCGCGTCCAGAGAGCGCGGCGGCCGTCGCCTGAGACGCGCCCCGTCCTCTGCGGCGCCCCCGTGTGTCGGCTGTTTTGCCTGACGTCGCGCCATAGACAGGCTCTTGGCGCACGTGGACCGCGGGGCCGAGCCCGGGGTCTCCAGCTGGGCTGGGTGGGGCAGCGTGAGCCACCGGCCGAGCCGTGCCGGCTGGCATGCCGCAGACTGCGCTCCACACTCTTCGTGCCGCGTCGCGCCGGACCACTGACGCGCGGCCCGCACTCGCAGGCGATGTCGGAGTACGGCGGCGGCGGCGGCACCGGCAGTGGCAGCGGCGGCGGCACCGGGCAGAGGCGAAGCCGCGCCAAGAAGCTGGGCGTGGGCGTGTCGCGGCCCAAGAAGAACACCGTGGCCTCGCTGCTGGCCAACAGTCGCTCCGGTGACGACAGCCAGGTACCGGCGGCGGCGGCCCTCGCCCCGTCCCTGGATGGGCTCCGTCTCGAGAGCTTGTGGGCAGAGGATCAGCTCAATGGCGGCGGTGTGGCGCTGCTCCAGGTTGTACAGCTGTGCGGGATGTGGAGAATGCCACCGTTGTGTTTGCGAGTGTTTGTTAGCCGACGGGACAATCGGTTTGCTCGTTCGATCATTACCTGTTTGTTAAACACGAGTAGACGGAGTCATTTAATTAGCTTTCGTAGCCATTTCGTAGTGCATTTCTCACAGCGGGACCTATCGTCCCGTACAGCACTGCAGGCCCTTTATTCTGTGTCGGCAGTAGCATTGATTAAGTACTTTCCTGAAGACATTACTGCAGCGGGCCCACGGCTGCCGTGCCGTGCTGTGCCGTGAGCCGTGCCGTACCGTGCTGTGCCGTGAGCTGTGCCATGCTGTGCCGTGCTGTGAGCCACGCCGCGCCATATTGTGCCGTGCCGTGTCGTGAGCCACGCCACGCCATGTTGTGCCGCACCGCGCCGTGCTGTGCCGTGCCGTGCCGTGCCGTGCCGTGCCGTGCCGTGCCGTGCTATGCCGCGCCGCGCCGTGCCGTGAGCTGAGTCGTGCGCCCTGCGCTGCAGCCGGGCGGCAGCGGCGCCATGCAGATGTCCACGGACGAGCTGACGATCGAGGTGCGGCCGCGCTCGTCCACCGCCCCGGCCGCCGCCGGCGACGACGACGACTCCGTGTCGGTCAAGTCGGCCGGCAGCGACCGCAAGCACAAGGTCACCTCGAGCACCGACGACCCGCTCAACAGGTACGCATGCCGTCGGTGCAGCGCGCCGCCGACACGGGCTTTATCATCTCCTCCGACGCTGAGCTATCCGTGCGGCCGTCCCCCTGTGTTGCGATCTGCTCTCCGCAGTCCCACTAACCGGCCGGCCTCAGTCGTCTGTCCGCCTCCGACATTCCGGATCTGATCAGCTGTCCGCCTTCATTTGACTGTAGCCGGTTCCCCATTTGAGACGTTCCGGCCGTAGTTGATGCGCAGCGTGGTACATTGCGCAACGCAGCCCAGCTCCCACGCCTGGTAATATTGATCGGCCTTGGTCCTCCAGGGCTCCTGGTGTCCCCCTGGCCTGGAATGCTCACCTCCTTCGCTCCCTTCAGTCTTCTGTGTTTCGTTTGGGACATGTCACATGAACACTGTGTCGCCGGTGGGATAATGTTCACGCCTGTGTTCACGTACTCAGCTCACTGCGAGAACATGGGTACCAACAATACCTCGCCGTGGTGATGGATTAACCGTACAACGTCTTGGGGCCTGCCGCCCGCGCGCTCTCCCTCTGTCTGTCTCTGTCAGTCCGTCTCTCTAACCACCGTGCGGCGCGCGCGCGGCCGCCGGCCGCCGCCCTGTCCGTCTGTCGCTCTGTCCGCTTCGCTGGCAGGCTACTAACGTGCGCGCCGTCCCGCCGCCGGGACTCCCCAGTTTTCCGTATTCCAGCTACCTGGCGCGGCTGAAGCGCGAGTACGAGGACAGCAGCGGCCTCGACAGCGAGGAGCTCTCGGCCGGGGAGTCCGAATGCGAGGTCTCTTCCAGCAAAGGTGCGCCACCGCCGCCCGCGCTCGCCGCCTGGGCTCACTGAAAGACAGATGGGTGTGGTCTTTTCGATTGAGCGTGGCAAAGACGGCGTGTTGATAGAGTTAGACGTGGTATAAAACGGTTCGGCGTTCTGAGGGCGTTCATTAATTGGACGGCGTCGGAAATGAGCACGCTTTGCTGGCAGATGAAAAAGTGGAATTAATTGGATGCAGACTTGTGGTGGAGCTCGAACTTACCCTATGTGGCGTTTGTGATCAGTGTGCGTCATTCATGTCTATATTGCGATCGATGCCCGCGCTGTTCGATTCTGGTGTCGCTTCCTTGTCCACTACGCCGCGCGTCTCCTTCAGGGACCGCAGTGTGGGCGTTATCGAACAACACACCGCAGCCCCGTTTAGGACCGATTCTCACGTTTCACGACTGTGCCGGGCGGCTCTCCCAGGTCTGACGCCGGAACTGGGGCACCGCTCCCCTCCCCTCCACCGCGTGCCCATCTGTACCGCCCCCCCCTCGCCGCAGGCACGCCGCCGTCCAAGCGTCGGCGCGTGGTGACGGACGAGCGCAAGCTGCGCGTGCCGCTGGACCGCGGCTGGCGGCGCGAGACCACCATCCGCAAGGTGACGCAGGCCGGGCCGCGCGGCGACGTCGTCTACTACGCGCCGTGCGGCAAGGCGTTCCGGCAGTTCCCCGACATCCTGCGGGTACGTGCGGCAAGGCGGAGCGTGCGCTGGCGGCGGACGGCTGTTGGATGAGAGGCGTTGTCGATGGTGCGGGAGTGAACGGTCGGAGGTGCCGACCGGGCGACACGTGGGAGGAGTATTCCCTGTGACGGGTACGGATAATCGTGCCCGTGAAACACGCGACGGTGGTATGCCCTGGCTGCTCCACTAAGCACCGCTGTGTGAATCACGAGCCAGACTGTCCGTGTAGGTAAACAGGCAGCAAAGTGTACTTAACGGGTCGGACCCGTTCTTATCAGCCTTAGCCTGAGATTATTCTGTAACGGTGCCGCGTAAATCTCCTCCTCGCCTCCGCCTGGCTGTTGTGTGGTCACGCCTTCGGTCCTGTTTCAGTACCTGGAGCGGAACAACATCAGTGACGTCACCAGAGACCACTTCACGTTCAGCAGCAAGGTCGTGATCGGAGACTACCTGAAGGTAAGGTGGCTTGCCTACCCATGAGGCCCGTTGTAGCAGCTGGTCACCTCTGCCTCGCTGTTCAATTTGTTCACGGCCGACTTTCTCGTGTGTGCAACTCTCAAAAACAGCGCAGCTGACGCTGCATCGGAGCCCTCTTGACCTAAAAGCACAGTCGCAGAAATGCCCCGATTTCCGAGCGAAGTTTGCGCTTTGCTCGTGGCCTTGGTGACCTGTATCGCTGACTGGCCGCCGTCTGGCCGCGCGCGGCAGATCTCGGACGACGGGGAGGAGTGCATCCCCATGTCGGAGGCCGAGGTCAAACGGCAGGTGGACCTCCTGGGCGGCGGCAAGAAGCGACAGTTCAAAAAACCATACGTCATCAACATCAAAAGGTAACGTGACCCTACGCCGTCGCACAGTGTGGTGGGTCACTTCAGCCGAGACATTCCGTGCAGGCACGTTTTATGCGATCGTTCCAGGCTTTTAAGTACAAGTCTGAGCTGTTCATTTCACATTAACACCTCACCTTTTGTGTTGTCTACTACTCTGACCTTATGAAAAGTATCACGGTATGCGCTGGGTATTATGCGAGCGCCTCTCGAGAGCGATTGTCAACGCCTCTGTGCTGACTTGTCCCCGCTGATGGAAGTACACCTATGTGAGGGCCGAGGGATGGGCCTGGGCTTGTGCCGGAGACTCACGCGTGCTGACGGGGGTCGGCATTGCAGCGACGAGGGCGGCGGCGCCTCCGGCTCCGGCTCCGGTTCCGGCGGCTCCTCCAGCTACCAACAAGCCATGGAGCTGATGCGTCAGCTGGAGGACGAGCGGCGCGCCAGGTGAGCTCCCTTCGCGTTTCCCCCCGCAGCGGTCCAGTCCGCGCCGCTGCCGTCTCCCGTGAAACGCGACGACAGAAACTGAAGAAATAGGCTCAAGGCAGACTCATAGTCGGATCTGAGGTGCTTAAGCATCCAGAGCTTAATCCAATCCAAGCTTAATCCAAATTTCCAAAGCATCCAGGAATTTTCGGTCAGGGCCTGTTGTTGCCTTTCAGGAATAGACATCATCTAGTGCGCTTTTTTACGAATTCTTTTGCCCCGATGCGTTTGAGTACGTTGGGCTGTTGGGATGATAGCACTTTGCCACGAGGGTCATGCGAGACGGCGTGGTGCGTTTAATTAAACGTGGGGCCGTGGTTGTGATATTTAAACGAATGGACTTCTTTTCAAGGCAACTGAAAGAGGAGCAAAAGAAGAAGGAGCGCGAGCTGAAGAATGCCCAGATGTTGGAGGTAATTTTCGTGGCTTTGCTTTGCTTGTTTAACTTTGGTCTCGTCTGTTTTTCCCGAGTGTTCGCTGACATCAGATTTGGCTGACGTCCTCCAGAGCATGGCTGAATGAGCTGTCATCAGCGGATGCTCACCAGCCGGCAACCAACCAGCATTGGTCGTTAGCAGCACTGATAAAGTTCTGACGCAATAGTGTTGTGTAACCATTGACTCAGTATCCCAAGTCTGCACACTTCCCCTTTTCAATGCAGGGGATGTTTGGATTCGTAATATTTTTGTGTATCGCGTCAGTTAACCATTGTGTGTGTATTCCTACATTGTCATATGCTCACTGGTCTAGACCTCGCTTTCTTTGTTGTAAAATGGGTGTCTTTTCGCCGTGCGCGGCAGCAGTGTACCGCCCCGTTGGACTTATTGGACCCACATTGTGTTCCAGGAGCGCCGCAGAAAACAGGAGGAGCTGGAGAAGCAGAAGGTGGCGGAGAACTTGCGGAAAGCTCAGGTAAGTCGCCTGCCTGCGCCGAATCCGCTCCGGGCACGAGACCGGATGACGTTGCAGCAACTCGGGACTAAGCGGCACTCGGTTTGCTTTCCGTTCAGTCGTCTCCTGTGCCGGCGCCCACCCGTGCTTTATGTCATGTGGACGGGCGACCCGTGTGGTCCGTAGGTTGGCTGTCCGTGCGGGGGTTGACGCGTGGCACGTGCACCGCCCCGGTTCGGGTCTGGGCAGCGGCAGGTGGCCGTGGTTAGTAGTTGTCGGTGTCCCGTGAGTCCAGAGCCACACTAACTGAGCCGTCTCTGTTCTAGGAGCTGAACAAACAGAGAGAGATGCTATATATGCTAGAAGTGGTACGTTCACTTTGGTGCATACGTTGCTTGGCTTTGAATGGTGGCTGGTGACTAACCTTGGCTGTGGCTTTGCGCTCCCCGGGGCCCGGGTGCCCGCCCCGCGGCGCCGTTGCGTGGGCGAGCTCGTCCGGACCTGCGCCCGGGACCGCTCTGTCGTCGGCCGTCCCCGCCGCCTGTCTGGCCTCCGTTGGCACCGGCGCCGGCGGGCCGGCCCGTCCCCCGCGGGTGGGGTCGGGTCGGGTCGGGTCGGGTGGTGGCCGATCTCGCGCGGCTCTGGTGTCGGGATGCTGTCGGAGCGGGCAGCTCCGTTGGGCCGCGCTGTCTGTCTGTGGCCGGGCGGCGAGGTAGCTGAGCAGCATGTGCCGGGGTTGTACAGCGGGTGGCGACGGACGTCCGGTCCCGGCCCGGGGCACGAGGCCGAGCATGACTCCCCCCCGCCCTCTGTTCCCCTGCCCTCGGCCTGGCGAGGCCTCGCTGTCCTGTGGTGGGTGCCGCTAGGAGTCGCTGTTGTACGAGGCCGTCCGTGACGCGCTGTGGCATGCACCTGAAATGTGCTGCGGTGCTTGCGTGTCCCCGCTTGCCGCCGATTCAAGTCGAGCTGGCCGTCAGCCCAGCGTCAGGCGTCAGCCACATGAGATTATCGATCTTTTGGACAAGCGAAGTTTTCGCTTCGGCTTGCAAACATCGTAGAATGTTGCGCTGGCCAATATATTCGGCGTTCCTTTCCACATAAGTTTGTCAGCGGCCGTCCCCGGGTGGCGGTCCGCGCCGCGGGTGTATCGGCCCCCTCCCGGCTGGTGCGCCGGCGGTGTCTGACGCGAGGCCGCCGCCGGCAGGAGCGCGAGCGGCGCCGCCACCACATGGTGCTGGTGAAGGCGCTGGACGCGCGCCGGCGCCAGGAGGAGCGCGACCGGCGGCGCGAGGACATGAAGGTGGAGCGCGCCGCGCTGAAGGAGCGCCGTCGCGAGAAGCGGCTCCAGGACGCCGAGGTCATCCGCGAGCTCAAGAAGCCGCGCGAGGACATGGCGCTCAAAGGTGAGGCCCTGCTCTGTGGCCGCGGGCAAAACACACCAACTCGTCTGCGGAAGGCGACACATGTGACGGCTTAGCGTGTCTGGCCAAGTGGCGGGTCCGGTCAAATCCGACTTGTCCGACGATGCTGGACGCCACTTAGTTGAAGTTTGTGCTGTCGTGTGATTGCAGTGTGGTGTGCTGTGTGACTGACGTGTGATGTGATGTGTGATAGACTGTGATGTGCTGTGTGAATAGCGTGATGTGCCGCGTGACTGGCGTGTGATGTGCTGCTGTGAGTTTCGTGTGATGTGCTGTGCGACCTGGCGTGTGATGTGCTGTTTTATTGACACGTAATATGCAGTGTGACTGACATGTGCTATGATGTGTGATGGGCGTGTGATGTGCTGTGTGACTGCCGTGTGATGTGCTGTGTGACTGCCGTGTGGTGTGCTGTGTGACTGCCAGGTGATGTGCTATGTGACTGGCGTGTGATGTGCTGTGTGACTGGCGTGTGATGCGCTGTGTGGCCGCCTTACCGCGGGCGGCAGGGCGTCCGTACCAAGCCGGCGTCCCACCCGGCTCCGTCCACCTGACCGCGCGTCTGACGGCCGCCCGCCCGCCCGTCCGTACTGAGCCGGCGTCCCACCCGGCTCCGTCCGCCTGACCGCGCGTCTGACGGCCGCCCGCCCGCCCGTCCGTACTGAGCCGGCGTCCCACCCGGCTCCGTCCACCTGACCGCGCGTCTGACGGCCGCCCGCCCGCCCGTCCGTACTGAGCCGGCGTCCCACCCGGGTCCGTCCACCTGACCGCGCGTCTGACGGCCGCCCGCCCGCCCGTCCGTACCAAGCCGGCGTCCCACCCGGCTCCGTCCGCCTGACCGCGCGTCTGACGGCCGCCCGCCCGCCCGTCCGTACTGAGCCGGCGTCCCACCCGGCTCCGTCCGCCTGACTACGCGTCTGACGGCCGCCCGCCCGCCCGTCCGTACTGAGCCGGCGTCCCACCCGGCTCCATCCGCCTGACCGCGCGTCTGACGCCCGCCCGCCCGTCCGCAGACCAGAAGCCGCTGCCCGAGCTGGACCGCATCCCCGGCCTGCGGCTGTCGGGCGAGGCGTTCGCCAACTGCCTGATGGTGTTCGAGTTCTTGCACAACTTCGGCGAGACGCTGGGCTTCGACATGGACAGCCTGCCGTCGCTGGGCGCGCTGCAGCAGGGCCTGCTCAACGAGCCCGACCACGAGGAGGAGCTGCTCTCGGTGCTGACCCACCTGGTGGTGTGCGCCGTGGAGGACCCGGGCATCCCGCACCCGGTGCGCCACGTGACCGTGCTCAACCAGACGCTGCGCCAGGCGGACATCACGCACACGGCACTCTCCGAGGTGCTGCGCATCTACATGTTCGCCTGCGCCTCGGGAGAGGTGAGCGCTCCAGCTGGATGGGCCGTGCGGCGGCTGGCTGTCACTGCCGAGGGCTGGATCAGGGGAGAGAGGAGCGTCGGGAGATGTGAGCGCTCCGGCCGCTGTGGCGCCGAGCGGCGGCTGGTAACCGGGCGGCGGCTGGCTGTCGCTGCCGCGGGCCGGATCAGGGGAGAGAGGGACGTCGGAAAAGGCCGCTGTGGCGCCGAGCGGCGGCTGGCTGTCACCGCCGAGGGCGGGATCAGGGGAGAGAGGAGCGTTGGGGAAGGTGAGCGCTCCGGCCGCTGTGGCGCCGAGCGGCGGCTGGTGACCGGGCAGCGGCTGGCTGTCGCTGCCACGGGCCGGATCCGGGGAGAGAGGAGCGTCCGGAGCGAGCTTTGGCGTGCGGCGTCTGCCGCTGCCACCGGTGTGGCAGCTGCAGCTTTGCGTGTGGTGACGTCACGAACGCGTGAGTGGCTGGCTCGGTTGTGGTCTGTGAACGGCCGCCTGTCATTCGCAGGTGAAGAACTTGACGGGTCTGTGCCCGAACCAGCGAGACCCGCACTGCCGTGCCAAGAACGCTGACTTCCAGGACGCCATGGACGCCAACCGCACTAACCAGATGTCGCAGTGGCTGGCGGAGCGGCCGTACCTGGCGCTGAACCCGACCGAGAAGACCGAGGTGCTGGCCCACCTCTGCAACGACCTGCTGCAGAACAAGGCCGTGCTGCGCCAGGTGAGGCGGGGCGCTGCGGCTCCCGAGCCGCGCCGGGCCGATCTTAATCGGGGCCTGATCCAAATACGGGATGTGCGGCGCGAGGCGTGGGCTGGTCCAGGCCCGGCACAGCGCCCGGGTGCGATGCAGCTTGCTGGTAATCTGCATGCGGTGGGGTCATGCTTTGCTGTAAAGAGCTGTTTTTCACGGTTGTCGATGGTGCTGTGTGCACAGGTTTATCCCATGCGCTCATGGACCACACCGGCGCATCAGCGTCAGCATGTGACGTGCCGCATCCTCTCAGCGGGTCTGCAACACTGACGCTCTCTCCGCCTCGCCCAGATCGAGAGCACGATCGACGTGGTGAATGCCAAGCGCAAGGAGAAGTGGGTGCTGGACGGCCGGCTGCGGCGGCTCAAGATGCTGCACGCCAAGAAGTTCTCCCAGCGGCACGTGGCGAGCCGGCCGGCGCCGCCCGAGCCCAGCGAGAACGGCGACACCGGCGACACGACGCGGCTCAGCGAGACCGCCAAGGAGAAGGACGCCGACGAGCACAAGGACGACGACGACGACGAGGAGGAGAAGGAGAGCGGCAACGAGAGCGAGCAGGGCGACGACACAGACATCAACGTGAGTCGGCGGCAGCCGCCCGGCGAGCGCCGGCAGCCGTTATTGTCAGAGGCCGTTAGGTGACGAGCTGTAGGCTTTGTTGCTCTTATATATATATATATATATATATATATATATATATATATATATATATACGTATGTATAAGCTGATCTGTAAATATATAATATATGTAAATGTAAGTGTGCTATATGACTGCGCAGTCAAAGCGCCGTAAAACTCATAAATGTCGCTGTAAAAGTAGCGTAATGGCTGTAAATATTGAGCGACGAAATTGGGTAACTGGAAGACGGAAGGCATATCTCAACCGAGGATGGATGTCGTTTTGATGCCGCCGGCAACCAGTAGCGTTGTCTCGCCGACAGGATGACGGAGACGTGAACGCCATGAGCGCCGAGGAGTTGCACAAGCGGATCGAGCAGCTCAACAACCACAACAACCAGCTGAGCCGTGACATCTTTGAAGGCAACCGCACCATCCGTCCGACCAGCCTGGGCCACGACCGCTACCACCGCGCCTACTGGATCCTGCCGCGTGCAGGCGGCGTCTACGTGGAGGGGCTGGAGAGCGGGCTGGGCGCCGACGAGCGGTACGACCGGCGGGGGGCGGCGCGCGCCGCGCTGCGCGACCGCGAGACGGGCGACGAGGCGGGCGAGAAGCGCGCCGCCGACTCGCCTGCCGAGCAGCGCGGCAAACGGGCGCGGCTCGAGGCGGGCGGCGAGGCGCCGCAGCCCGAGACGAAGCCGGAGACAGATCCGGAGACGAAACCGGAGACGGATCTGGCGACGAAACCGGAGCCAACGGCGGAGCCAAAACCGGAGCGGGAGTCGGAGTCGGAGTCGGAGCTGCAGCAGCGGCTGGTCAACGGCGACTGCGCGCCGACGCCGGCCGAGAACGGCCTGACTGAGGACGAGCCGCACGTGAACGGCGACGGCGACGGCCGGGAGCACGCCGGCTCGCCGCTGCTTCCGCCCACCAAAGTGAAGTCCGAGCCGGCGCCGGTCAAGGCAGAGTCGCCGACCGAGATGTCGCCGCCGCCACCGCCGCCGCCACTGCCTCCGCCTCCGCCGCCCGCTGGTGTCGTGAAGCCGGAGTCGGTCGCCGGAGACGCGGCGACGCCGGCGCCGCCGCCGGCCGCCGGCGCCGTCAAGGCTGAGCCGGCCGACGCGAAGCCGTCGGCACTGGACAGCCTGAGCGCCATCAAGCACCTGGCCGAGAACCCGGTGCCCGCCCCGTCCAAGGCGGCGTCAGTGATCCTCAGCACCCCCAGCTACAAGCCGCAGCTCAACAGCAAGCACATGATCAGCTACCTGAACGCGTCACTGGCGTCGCTCGGCGCCAACGGCTCGTTGAAGGAGGTGAACGGCGCGGTGCAGATCCCTGGCCTGGGCCTGGTGCCGTCCCAGTACCTGATGCAGGCGCTTCAGGCGCCCGAGAAGCTGTGGTTCAGCGTGCTGCCCAAGGAGCCGTGCGACTTCAGCACCATCACCGAGCTGTCGGACGACGAGGTGGAGTCGGTGGCGGCCGAGCCGGAGCGGCGCGCCGCGCTGCCCGAGGACGCGCCGCCCGACCCCGAGCTCGTCGGCAAGCTGGATGTGCACGAGGAGGCGCTGGAGGTGCCGCAAGGTCGGTGGCAGCTGGCCGGGCGCCGACGGGCGACTGGCTCGGTTGGGTTAATTTTTGGGTTGATTTTGCGTCGTTCGTCGTCGCGTGATATTTTGGAAGGGTTTCACTCGCCACACGTGGGGCGGCACGGCCATGGTTGCCGACTTCTCGTCTTTGTAACGGTCTCGGGATGGTTGTGCTCATGCTCGCCTTACGCGCCGTGGACACTCCCTGGGCCCACGTGTCTTCTGGCTGAGTTGTGACGTCGCGGTGCGTGGGCGGGTCGTGGTGCCGCGCTGGCCGCGCTCTCACGGAGGCCGTGTGCCGACAGAGTACAAGTGTGGCTGGTGGCGGGTCTCCGACGCGACCAAAATCGACCAGCTGACCAACGCCCTGCACAACCGGGGAATCCGCGAGAGGCCGCTCAAAAACAAGATCCTCACCTGCCGCGATACTGTACTGGAGTCTTGTGATACGGTAAGAGAGGCTCTAGCGGCGTCCCGGTACTCTTCGCACTGCTTATGGACTAAGGTGTGAATTGGGTTGTGCGGTGTGTCTGTCATTTGACCGAACTTTACATCATGTATGTCAGATATTGGAAACAGAAGATGTTTAGCTGTTCACGGGGATATCACGTTAGCCACCTGTGGTGACCTCCGTCAAGAGCTGCACATGGTAGAGCCAGGTGCTACATCGTTGCGTATTGTGTCGTGAAATGCTTATTAAACCCACTAACTGTATGTCTTGCGGTTGTAGCGAACAGAGAAAAATCGAATCTTAGTAAGTTGATGGAAAGAGACTTTGCCGCTTCAAAGTTTGGTTCAAGCGTGCTTGCACGTTCCGCTTTATGCAACACCCTTTATAAGCTTCTGTTGAGATAAGCAAGCGTTTTGGTAGTAGCATGCGTTCTTTCTTTTACAGTGATGACATTCAGTTCCATTTATACTCTTCTGTACCTGGTGCTAAAACTGCACTTCATCGGATTGCCTGTTGTACCCGGCTTACTGACGTTCCCTGCTACCGCCTTCTATGTATTCCCACGAAAGGGTCTTATCTCGAAAACGCTGGTGTCGTATGTATAACTGTCGATAACCGGCTTGACGTGCGAAGAACTAACACAGATCTAACTTTATTCGCAACCTCGCCTGGCACGTCACAGTGGCCGGGTGTGCTGAGACGCCGGTGTGCGCGGAACGGCGGGCGGCAACCGGTGCTGACTATACCCCGGCCGCAGGGTAACCCGGACGAGGTCAACCTGACGGTGACCGACGCCGACGCCGACGCCGACCCTGACGCCGCGGCCGCCGCGGCCGCCGCCGCCGCCGCTGAGCCGGCGCCGGTGCCGGCGCCTGACGAGCCCGGCTCCTACCGGCACGACGTGGCCACGACCGTCGAGATGTACCTGCTCGAGCAGGTCGAGAACCTGGAGGAGCGCATCGGCCAGGCCAGCATGCAGGTCAAGGTCAGTCCTGCGCGCGGCGGCGCAGCCTGCGGCCTCCGTGCCTGCATCCGTCTTTAGACGGTGAAGTCCGTTTAACAGAACGCGTGCTGCTTTGGGACGCACGCCACCCTGCCATAGACGTGTGATTGCTGCCTTGTTGTCGCGGGCGCCGGTGCTCGGACGCTGACCCGGCGCGACAGCACGAACGGCGCGCGGCCGCCGCGCCCGATGACGGCCGTTCGCCTCTGTCGCGCAGACGTGGCGCCTGCCGCCGCGCACCTCGCACGACCGCAGCCTGTTCGCGCCGTCCTGCGCGCCCGAGGAGGGCAAGCTGAACCCGGTGGCAAGCGCGCGCGACCGGCTGATCGACCTGGAGCAGAACGTGGAGCGGCGCTACCTGAAGCCGCCGCTGGGCACCAGCAAAGGCGCCGACCTGAGCCTTTCGAACCTGGGCACCGAGGAGAACAACACCATCCCGCGGCCGCTGCTGGTGTGGCGCGATGCCCTGCCGCGCACCACCACCGCCGCCCAGGTCTCCATGTGCCTGTACGCGCTCGAGATGTCAGTCGCCTGGGACAAGTCCATCATGAAGGCGGTGAGTGGGCCGGCGCGCCGCCGCCGGTGGCTGGCCGCGGTGGCGGGCCGGTGTGGGAATGGGTGGACAGGAGTTGACGGCGGTGGCTGACAGACACCTGACAGTGGTCGGACAGACTGAGGAGTGACGTGGTGACGTTGGCAGACTCAGATGAACATGTATTTGGGCCGGGCAGGACAAAATGGCAGACTGACAGGCCGTGACAGACGCAGGCAGAGGCGGACAGACCTTTGGGAAGCCAGCGTGATCATGCGCGCAGGCAGATGCCACGCCGGATGGTAGGATACGAACAGCGGGTTGCATGTGCCACCCCACGCGTGTCGTTTGGCTGAAACTCTAAAATTTGTCATGATTGATTTTGTTTTGTTTCGTTTTCTTGTTTGGATTCGTCCCAACCACTGCTTCAGGCATCCAGCACTCCCTCGCCATTATGTGTGAGTCCAGCGCATGATCCTGCTTTATGCATAATTGCCGATTTGCTTTGTTGCCCATGGCGCACCAATCGTATTTTCTTGCGTTTGTTTTGCCTCGGTTGGCTGCAGGCGATCGTCATCGAAGACGATGAGCACGTACAGCACCTGACCACGCTTGACATGCCTTTGTGTTCTAACCGGCCGGGGCCAGCTGGCGGCACTAACGGGCCTCTGGCGGTCAGCGCTGTGTGGTGTCCGTGTGCGTTGACCTGGTCTGACTGGCCACTCCCCCAGCAGAACTGTCAATTCTGCACGAGCGGCGACCATGAGGAGAAGCTGCTGCTCTGCGACGGCTGCGACAAGGGCTACCACACGTACTGCTTCAAGCCGGCCATGGACACGATACCGGACGGCGACTGGTGAGCGCGGCCGACCGCTGGGGGCGCCTGGGAGCGGGTCCGCCGCCGAGCGGGGCCCGTCGCCACCCTTGGGCTTGGCGAAGAGAGTGTTTAGGGTGGACCTCGCTCCAGACGGCGGTGTGAATATGTCCGTCAGGGGTGGTTGGAAGCCTCCTGAGAGTCCTCAGGCCTGTGGGTCTTCTCACGTGTCTCATCTGGTCTCTCCGAGGTGACATCCCTCCGTGTGTTCGGACCGAGCTCTCTGGTGGTGGGCGTATCACCGTTCACGGGCACGCTCAGCCACGCCGAGCTGGGGCGTCACGGCCGGCGGCGTTACGTCGGGCCGGGGCGCTCCACTGTGCGGGGTCCGCCGTCTGTCACGGCGCGGTGCCAAGTGGCGCGCGGCTGCGTGCCGGCTGACGCTTCCGGCTCTGCCGCCCGCGCCGAGCTGCCAGGCCTGTCCGGTATTTGGCCGGCGGCCGGCGGCGCCGAGTCTGCCCCTCCCGGCGGCCGGCCTCGATCTCACCGCCATCGCGCCCGCAGGTACTGTTACGAGTGCGTCAATAAGGCGACCGGCGAGCGGGCATGCGTCGTCTGCGGCAAGGGCGAGGGCAAGGTGCTGCTGTGTGAGGGCTGCCCGCGCGCCTTCCACCCCGAGTGCGTCACGCCGCCCGTAGTCAAGGTCAGTCACTCGGCCGACGCTCGCTCGAGCCGCGTCCTCGCCACTCGCCGGGGCTGGTCGTCGCGATCCGGGTATGTACTCCACGGCTGATCGTGAGGAGACGGCCTGCCGATTAACTGTACGAGGCAAGTCCTCCCGGAGTCTTGACCTTGCGACAACATTCGTACCCTTGCGACTGTCCCTGTGCTCTTTCAACAGGCCCATTTGCCTTGCCCTCAAAGACGTCTCGCGCTTCGGCACGTGTTTCCTGCTGTGCGGCGCTCGGCCGTGTACTGGTGCAGTAGCTTGGCGTCCTCGCCGGCAGGTACCGCGGGGCAAGTGGCACTGTCCGGCGTGCGCCCACAAGAGCCCGAAGAAGTCGCGCTCCAAGAAGGCGAAGCCGGCCCCGCCGGAGCCGAGCGAGCCGGCGCCGGCCGAGGAGAAGCCCGCCGAGGAGCGCGAGTCGCCGCCCAAGAAGGAGCGCGGCAACAAGAAGGTAGGCGGCCGACCGGCCGAGCTGGGCAGCCGAGCGTGCTGGGTCCCTGCGCACGCCAGTCCTGGCTGTCGTAGTGTGGTGGTGTACGCCCGGCTGCGCCTGTAAGGCTGCGGACGTGACGTCGCTCCCCGTGCCACACGACACCAGTCAGTTGTGAGTCAGCTGATCTTCCGCACCTGGTGTGCGGCCTGATGCGGACGCTCGGCTTATCCGGTTAGTCAGCCAGAGGACAGGAAAGGCGGCCTCCCAGGAATGGCCGTAAGCTTGATGACGTGATCAAATTACCGCGTCCTTTTCTCCCTGACCGCAGAATCTGTCAGCACACCATGCCGTTCCTAGTCACGACTATCTTCTGTTTTCTGTCGGGATCCTGGTGGACTGGTATCTCGCCGACCGGACTTGCACCATGGGGTAGCATACCTAGCCGCCTGACAGGATGAAAACTCTCTGGGCTGTCACGGGCTGCTGGTGCTGAACGTAAATCGCCGGTGATAACGCGATGCGTGTGAGTGAGGTGAGAGACGATGACGTGACGTGACGTGACGTGACGTGACGTGACGTGACGTGACGTGACGTGACCCGATGTGCGTGCTCCGGCAGTTGGCCAAGGAGATGGCCATGTGCCGGACGGTGCTGACCGAGCTGGAGGCGCACGACGAGGCGTGGCCTTTCCTGCTGCCGGTCAACACCAAACAGTTCCCCACCTACAAGAAAATCATCAAGAACCCAATGGATCTCAGTACCATTAAGAAACGGATCAACGAAGGAGTGTGAGTAGCGGCAGTCGCGAGCGCCGGTTGGGCGCATGGTGTCACGGAACGCGCGATTTGTACCTCTGCATTAGTGGAAGTGGCGGCGTGGCCTGCCCTACCGTGTATGCGTTCCCCGGTTGCGCGTGTCGTCGCCCTTGTTCCCGCCTTTGTTCTGTTGGTGCGCTGTGACGTGCGCGCTCGTGCTGCTGGTGTCCCGGCGATCCAGCTGATGCAACTCAAGTGTCGTGGTCATGTTGCGTCAGACAGGGACTCCTCGGCCGGCCTGAACTCTGGACATGTCGGACGGCGTCCTTGGGACTTGAACCCTCGGTGCCATGATATGCATTTTAGGTTCAGGTCATCGCTTCTCCGTGCAGTCTGCGTGTGTTTCCGGCGTGGCGACGGTCAAGGAGGCGGATTTGCCGTCGTCAGACCTCAATGCCACTTACCGCCGCGTGATAGCGTGCCATCGACACGTGCTAGATTTCCGAGGCGTCCGCCGCGGTCCTCCGCGGTCCGCTGGTCTCACTGTCGTGCTTCGGTCCGCAGGTACAAGGGCAAGGACGAGTTCATCGCCGACATGCGTGTCATATTTGACAACTGTGAGACGTTCAACGAGGACGACTCGCCGGTGGGCAAGGCCGGCCACACTATGCGGACTCTGTTCGAGGCGCGTTGGCTCGAGCTCAACCCGCAGTAGCGCGCGCGCGTGCGTGCGCTCAGTGTTGCACATTGCGCCGCTCGTGTGCGGGGCGGCGCCGCGGGCGCGAACCAAGAGCGACTTCTGATAGAGCCCGTCTAGGTCTTTCCGCAGTTGGATCATAGTTGTGTACAAATCCATGCTAGACTAGGCATAATGATTCCTGGAACTCGTGAGATGAGAGAGATCAGGTATTTTGTAGTAGCCGTTTTTACTCGTCGCTTTACTCAGATTCATGTGGTGGATTGGTCGGCCCGCCCGGGCCGCGGCCCGGCTCCGCCAGCTCCGACCCCAGTCATACGCTAATGCAGCTACTCGAGTTCACCATCCATCGGTTATTTATTTTTTCGTAACATTCACTGCTCTCCTACAGATGGTCTGGCGTGTGTGCTCGCGCGTGTGTACATAATTGTTTGTATAACCAGATGTGCCTGGCTGTCCGCTGGGCGCGCGGGCCTCGCGGCACCGGGCCGCTGCCACCCCGTTCAGGCCCGGTGACCTCTGTATAGCTGTTGTATATGACATGTCCAACGTGTATCATGTCGGTGGCACTCAATTATCCTGAATATATTTCCCAGTTTCTTGCCGGCGCGTGTCTTTGGTCGTGGTTGGCGCGCGTAGTCCGCCGATACCTGATGAGTCATTGCTGCTACTTCCGAAAGAAACCGAATTTCCCGACAGATACGGATATGGGCACCAGCGCCGCGGTGCTGAACTGGCGGTACCACTACTGCCTATGCGTACTGTGCGCAAGCTGCAAACTTGGACCCAACCGGGCATTGAAATCGCCATAATGGTTTGGGTGGCCTAAGAGCTGGGAATTGGTACCTTGAAACGGACGAGTTGGAATACGAAAGGCACTACATTGCAACGCAGTGGACTGCACCCGCATTGGTAGCCGGTTCGGTTCCATGCCATGAGGACTACATTTTCCTACTACTGCCATGACAACGAGGACCACAGCAGTCCACCTGTTGTTTAGATGTGAACGCAGAATGACCGTTATAGTCCGGGGACCCCATCAACTTGACGTTGAGCTGTCGATCGCGGTTCATGGCTCGACAAATGACCTCCATGCCAAATGCATGACATGGTGCTACTTGTTCTGGCGTTATAGGCGTGGTCCTGACTGAGACAGAGCTGACCCCAACAGATGTGTGAAAGGTGCTTGAGACCTGTGTAAGTCCACTGCCCGCGGCTAGTATATCTTGGAAGCGCTACAGGCTTTGAGCGCCGCAATGCGGTATGAACCAGGCACTTGCAGTGTATTACGCGACATTGTGGATGTCCTTAGGACTTCATTAGAACCGCCAGCAATACCACAGCACCATTGCAGGTTCGCGTTTGTTCTCTCTTGACTGCCGTTTTCACCGACACTGAATACCGCAGCGCCGAGGGCGAATGCAACCAGTGTGCCGCGAAAATTGTCCGCAAATCGGCTGTTGCTCCAACGTACCGCCTCCACGCTGAGCCCGGCATCTCCAAACAGGAGCGCAGCCAGGATTTTCTTAAGGTGGGGGGGGGGGGAGGGCTGAAGGTCGGTGAGAACGCACCACGCAGGGCTTAGACTTTCTGTCAGAGGCATCGGTGCTGAAAAAAATGCAAGTCTGAGACCGCTGGCTGCGCCCGTGTCCACAGAGATAAATGTAACCATCTGCTACTGAAATACAACAAATGGGTTTCACAGATTTGCTCACTTTCTCATTGTTGGAGGGGAGGGGCTGGAGCCCGGATGGGGAAGGGGTTTGAGCCCGCTCCTGAATAAGGAACTACACCCCTGGCGGCCTGGTCCCGCCTTATGCTCCCCTGCCATATGACTCGGATCGCAAAGTGCACGCTACAACAGTGCATTCATACAATCGGACTGAGCTGTCGCACAAGCGGGCTGTACTTTTACCACGCGGATCTGTCATGGATTGTTTGTAAGGGCCGTAATCATTCGGAGCTACCATGCGACATGCGCGGACGAGACGCGTTCCGCGGAGCTCATACATCAAGGATGTGAGGACCCGACTGCCGGCGCGAGCCAAACAACGGCTGCTAGTACCAGCTGGGAACTGTAGCGCAGACCAGACGCCGGCTGCTAGTTCAGCTGGGAGTTGTGAATAGTCAGAGGACAGGTGTGCCTCCAATGTGCAGGACACCTCCCATGATGCAGATCCAAGAGGCCGAATCGAAGTCCTGTCAAAAGCGTGATCTGGCGCTCCCCGTAGGTGATACCGGTGAAAGCACTCAGACGTTCGCGCTGCTCGTACCGCGTCCGGCGTTTACTGCAAATCTTCAGAAATATCGGAGGGGGGGGGGGGCTAACCTACACAAACCTTATTTGGGAGCGGCGTGAACCACCACGCTGTCTGCATTGTGTGCTCGGTCTACAAGAGCGTCGGGAAACCGAAGCCGATTACTCCACAAGGACGATGAGTCACTGCTAAGGTTTTTTTAACGCACCTAGGACCCGCATACGACTCCGTTTACGTCTTGTTTCAGACCATTCTAGGGAAGTGTCGTATCATGATGAACATCGTTCAGTCAGATGAAAATGAGCGTCGACGAAAGTATCATAAGCGAGCGTCTGCTTAATCATTTATTCGCATGTACCCTTCAGTGTGGGGGTTAAACACTCATCATCGCACACAGAGATTGCAAACTGGCCCGAAATAGAGAACCAAACTGTACCACCGTTGTAATTCAACAGCTACCACGTTAATGCCCGATATATCTACCGAGCAAACTAACCCACGGATTGTTTGGAAGTTGAATCGAACACACAAAGCAGCATTTTAACACAAGCACCCGATCATAACCGTCAGCGATCGGTACTCTTCCTACAACTTCCCTAGACTTGCTGAATACCACACAAAAACAAACGGCCAGCAAAACAAAACCTTATCACCCATGTACTGTCGTTTCAAGGGAATAATCGACACATCACGGCAGTGCTAGGGGAAAATTACTGGACCACTGTGATCACCTGCATATTCTGTCCTCTGCACCCCTATCAGAATAAGCCCGCCTCAGAGAATGCGTGGATTCAACGGCTTTATCACAAACTACATTAAATCACACTCGCTACGCAATATGGGGACGATCACAAGGGTTTCAACAAGCAAGCTCTTATACAAAAACCGATTCCACGCACCTGTAGAAAAGCTAGTTCACGACGTGTCGTTTCTAATTATCTCCTTTCTCAGCCCGACCAACGCGCCTTTCGGGGTACGCAAATGCGAGAATCGGCAAAAGTTTCTCGTGGAACGACGGCCTCCACTCCAGCTCACGCGCAGCGTCCCCAAACACCCGTGGGTGGTTACATTTCTGCGACGAGCAGACGAAGCAGGATCCGACAAGCTAGAGTTAATTGGAGATGATACGCATGGCTTTAACACCCACGTGACGAACGTGGGTACGTCTCAGTCGGCACGAAGACGAAGCCTCTGAGGCGTCGCTGCTCCTGCCAGGATTGCATTAACAGGCCCGATCCGCTGCGCC